CCAAAAGATTATTGAGGAGCATAAGCATAAGTTGTTCGGCACAGGACCTGATATTCTCCTGACTATATGTTAAATGTATATACGTCACTATGTAACTACGACACTATGTAACCTGTAATGTTAAAAATGAACTTCCTGCCGAGGTTTTTCCACGATACTACAGCATGGGGTTTTTCAAGAAGGCTATATTAAGGTTACTTAAGGGTCGGCAACGCGGACGTGATACCCCTGTGTTTCAGGCGTTCATAGGCTACGGTAACCGTTTACCATCAGATGGGCCGTATGCTTGATTGCCACCATCATAGTATAAAAAAAAGGATTGCAAAAAAATACCAGTTCGTGTTCTTCCCACTTCCCAGAATTAATATTATTTTTTTAAACTTTCGCTCTATAGTTATGCAATTTGGTTAACTGATGGCTAGTGTTTAGATAAACAGATTATCTGTCAATTGTGAGATTTTACACGAGTTCTGTAGTTATTATTACTAACAACTAAAACAAATTAAGCTATCAAAAGACTTTGTTTTTACTTTTGACATTTTCCTCTGTTGTTTATCATAATTTCACATCAAAGAATAAGTGTAACGCTTGCGGCGAGGCCAGCAGAAATTAAGAGGTCAAGAATAAAGATTACAGAGTCTCGAACATTCGAAAATATATCAGTTAACTTTCAGAACTTATTCTTTGGAACCCCCTTAACATTTACGCCAGCGGCGCGACGGTCAGAAAAGTGATCTAAACTTTTGGAAATCATATAGCTGTTTCGAAATTGTTGAGGTTTTTGAAATAGGTCGTGTGAACAATGTTAACTTGTTTTATGTTTCGTTAATAACTTTCTGCATAGCTTTATGTTGTTACAAAGTCACTCGCAAGTCTCTAATACATTTTCACGTTAGGTTAAGGTTGATACCGCAGGATTGGCATCTCGCGTCGGTACCAGTTAGAACTGAAAGGTCTTTAAATTTACTTTAAATTCCCAGAATTAATAAAAAAATATCATAAACTAAAACTATATTAGTGGTATCATATTTTAACTCATTACTTCATTTTAATCTCGGCGGCCTCAGTGGTCTAGCGATTTAGCACACTGCTTTACTTCCGATGGTTGCGGGTTTGATTCCTCGCACGGTGCAAACATTTGTATTCAATATGATTTATTCTATCGGTGTGGGTGTTTTCTATGTTTATTATGCGTATATTTACAAAAACAAAACAGTATTTATGTCAGTTGCCTAGTACCCTTAACACAAGGTCTGCTTACCGTGGAATGGTACCAATAGATGGCGCTGCTTTAAATGTCCAGATTATTTATTACTTAATAGTACCTACGCATTATTATTATAGTTAAATGAGTTTTAACACTTTAATTTTATGGTAAATTAAATTATTTACCTGTCTCGATATTTCGACAAGGTTGCACTAGCCGCGGTCACGAGCTGAGTGGAATAACAGCGATATCAATGTAGATAGGTGCCGGCAGTTTGTTCAACTACCGTCATTAGATTGTCAAAGAAAAATCCTAACACACAGTACTCACGATATCCGTACACTTATTGACCGATGCTACAGAACTTTGTTGAATTTTATTAATCACTGTATTCCACGCAGATGATAACTTTAAACCATCTTTCACAATATCTCCGGCTACATATTGCAGCCACCAGGCAACTTGTTTTGTAAGATGTTTCAATTGATTTTTTTTTTTTTTATTTAGATACTTTTGTACAAACAGAAAGTACATGCCAGTCCTATAGTACCCTAAAACTATTTCCTACATCACCTCACGACTGAGCAAATTGCTCTAGCAACACTAACTGGAGAATCACTTAAAACACTTTGTAGGTTGATAGTTGAGATACGGCAGTGAAATGTTAGTCACTCGGCATGGCTACGCGTGAACAGTATCACGTCCGTCTCATAACGTAATATCCGTAGAGCTGTTCATATATGGCTGTATATATATGACGGTGACCATTTACCATCAGGTAGGACGTCAGCTTGTGTGCCATTCAAATTATATAAAAAAATGTATAACGCAATAAAATTTGTTTAGATATAAGTTAAATAAAGTCGTAGCAAGTGACTTTGTTCTACTTAGAGACATACGGTTAAGTCAAAAATGACTTTGTATGAAAAGTGGGTGACTTTGTAGGAAGTCTTCACTCGTGGTGTTAATTTTAAATTTAATCAAAGGCACTCAACTTTTTATGTCCGTAACAAAATTCACAGAGCGTGCAACATAATAACTGAACTTACCTAAGTTAAAACCGTAAAGCGTGAATCAGACATTGCGAAGTTTGTTTTAATTAGCCATGTAAATGACACTTCCATTCTATGACTTGGTGTTCCGTTAAAATGTCTTAGTGGCTGCAACTTAACTGCAACTTAGTTATAATTAAACCAACTTATTTAACTCGTATACGTGCAACTGAGTGTATTGTATGTAATGTAATTAGTTAAATCTTTAAGTCTATCTAGCCTCGAAGATCTAGCGATTTAGCACACCGCTTTACTTCTGAAAGTCGTGGGTTCGATACCTTGCATGATGATAACGTGATGTTTAATGTATATTATGTATTTATTATTTACAAAAAAATTATCTGAGTATCAGCTATCTAGTACCATAACACAAGCTCTGCTTACCTTGGCACTAGACGGCGCTGTATTAATTGTCCTGGACTATTATTTATTACTATTGACCATTGCAACGCAGAGTCAAAATAATAAATACACAGCCAACTGAATGAGTCACTAAATAAGAGTAAATCAGCCATATGGATTAGAGCAGACAACTCCCTTCAAGCAGCACTCGTTCACGAGTATGACTGGTAGTTTTCTATATCATCATTTCAACTCAGAAGACGTCCACTTCTGAAGAATGGTCTCATACAAAAATCTCCACGACGATCGGTACTGTGCTGCTTGCATCCAACGCTTTCTAGCGATCTTGACCAGATCGTTTTTCTATAAATTTTATTTAACTTTTTCCCTACAATTAATTATAAAAATCTTATTTCCAATACTTCAGTTATCTCTATATAATTATGTTATAGAAACAACAGATATCATCAGAAATGTAGTTAGGCAACCATTAATTCGATTACGTTTTCCTTTTTACTTATGTAGGCGTAAAATAAACACCGCCCAGGGTATTCCAATAATATGATTTCCATAAACCCGGGATATTAAGCCGTGACCGTACAGGAAATTAAAATGCCGATCGTCGATCGTGTGCGACAAACCGTGAAAATTTTCGCAAACGATAAGAAAAACAAAGGAAATGAAATAGCCGGAGAGGTTTTTAATAACACAAATACGCCGGAGAATAGATAAAAATCACAGATTAAATATATATCTACTAGTCGCCCCGTGGTGGAAATTCTATCATAAATTGATTGAAATAAAAAAATTAAACATTATTAGGTTACATATACTGTCAAAGACTTTCATCGCGTAATCTAAATATATACAACTCAAAGGTGACTGACATAGTGATTTATCAACGCACAGCCCAAACTACTGGACAGACCGGGCTGAAATTTGGTATGCAGGTAGATGTTATGACGTAGGCATCCGCTAAGAAAGGATTTTGATTATTCTAAGGGGATAAAATAGGGGATGAAAGTTTGTATGACTCTTTTTCAATTTTAAATCGATCGGGCTGAGACTTTGCATGCATAAAGCTACTATGACGTACGCATCCCCTAAGAAAGGATTTTGATAATTTTCACCCCTAAGGGGATAAATTATCGCGAGCGAAGCCACGGGCAAAAGCTAGTAATTTATAGATTGCTTTAATAACAGAACGGAAACAAACCTCGATTCGCTGGTTTAACAATTAACAATATTGATTATCATTTGACATTGACGTTTTGTTATCAGTCGTGTAATATAATGAAAGTGTGTAATGATTTTTTTTATTTATTTAATGTTCATGTAGCAGCAGTAGAGGAGGTGGAATGATGATTCCAGTAATTGTTATTTACATTATGTATATTAATGAAAAATTAAAAATGGTACATACCTATATATACAAGAGGATTCGGTCTCTAGTGACAGACCTGTTATTTTATTGTTCACTGGTAACTTTTTTTTTATTTAATATTTTACGGCTATGGATACAAGTCCTTTTTAGCCCATGTTGCCGCTCGATAATAGAGAATAAATTCGCCACATATTTTTTATGCATAAATTGAAAAAAAAATTAGCATTCTGCGCTCCTTATCCATATAAATTTTATGTGTGAGAAATTTCATACTCATTCATTTGCGAGCAATTTTTGTAAAAAGGGATATAAAGTTTTTGTTTTATGTATAAATATATAGATATCTATATATAACAGTTATAGTAAAAAAATCTAATTACCATCTAGATTGGTACAAGTCCTTATGTGTGTCTCTTATATTTCTGTCGCAAACCATTTGTTGCCGCTTGATAATAGAGAATAAATATTTATAAAGAACATATTTTTTATACATAATATTGAAAAAAAATAAATTAGCATTCTGCGCGCCTTATCCATATATAATTTTATGTGTGCGCAGTTTTAAAGATTTAAGCATACTCATTCATTTGCGAGCAATTTTTGTAAAAATGATTGTTTATAATTATTTCTTTTATGTATAAATATATAGTTATCTATACATAACAGTTACAAAACAGTTTTTTCATATTTTTGTAGTATCACAGAGCTTAAAGTATATTTAAATATTATAAAAAATGTTACTTGGAATTTAATCTTTATAGCGCCATCTATCGGCATATATGATAACCAAACCATTAAGTTACTATTTCAGAGCAAGAGCCAGAAAGATAAGCGGACTACTTATCGTTGCGATATGTTTAGTCATTTATAGTTTATTCTCTAGATGGCGCTGTCTACATTTTTCATTACCTTTTAAATATTCAAATAATTTTATTAAATATATTACAAAATATTGTTGTGATGTTAATTGGTGTATAATATAATACAAAAATCTCTTCCTTTGTTTCAGATTACGACCCTGACCTCGACCACACCTCGAACTGAAAAAATTCCAATATAATAGTCATAATTATAAAGTTCCTAAAATAATCTCTAGTGATAGTTAGGATATAAAAATGTATAGTTCGAACGAATTCTTACATAGTGCCGGTGTTAGCCGTCACATGGAAGCGACGGGTGAAACTCCCACCCAGAAAACTAGCATGAAACGTCGCTCATGCGAAGTCCCTTTAGGGGATATATCTTCGAATAACTTTAAAGTATCCCTAGGAGATATATCGACTATAAATGATGCCCCAAATTATGACTGTAGGTCCCTTCGCTCAGTCAAATCCGAGGATACTAGATCCTTACGATACAGACCTATAGATAGTAGAAGTGTTAAAAATTTTCGATCGTCCCTAGCTGATATTTCCACGTGTTCGTTATCGCGGCCCCCTAGTTACGATCAGCTGTCCAGGAGGTCGATAGTCGAAGGTCCGGATGCTCAAGGAATAACGTCCAGCATCGAAGGCGTGCTGTGGTCAGATGAAGAAGAAAATGAATACTTCTACCATGAGAATATTACAACTGCTTGGAATCAAGGTCAGATTGTTTACCTTTTTATTAACCGACTATTAAAAAAGAAGGGTCTCAATTAGACTTTCGTGCATGCATGTGATGCTATATTCTACACGCATTTTCCATTACTACGACATTGTTTATTATAAAATTTATAATGTGGGCCGGGTCATTGGACTCCCTAAAATATGTTCGAGCGCAGTGATGGCTGGCTTATCCGTCATACTCGTGAACTAATGCTGCTTGTAGGGACTAGTCTGCTCATGTCACTACTACTCATTTAATCTTATTATGTTTTATATTTGACCCTAATAAATTAGTGCTGGTTGGTAGTTTGTATTCACACGTTTTGACTTGTAAAATGTGAACTTACAAGGATTATTTAAAAGAGCAACACACAAGTTTCTTGCTCGTTCTTCTTGTCATGAGACAGCTTTCCGAACGATCGGTAGATAAAAAAATTTGTTATGACTATTCAAAAGTGCTTAAATTAAGTTTATTTGAATAATAGATTTTCTATTCTATTCCATTCTATTCTATAAAATTAATAGAATTCCTGAAATAGAATTATTACAGAAATAATAATGTATTTTTTTGTTCTTTTCTAAATATTTTTTTTTTCTAATGTAACTTGCTTGTCTTGAGTTCATTGTACTAGCCCGCATGTGTCACATAAAGGGTATTTGCTTTTAGTGCTTATATCTTTTTATGGTCGATTTTTTATTATTTAAATGACGAAACGCCTTTGGGATACCTATACTTTCACGTCTGGTATAATTTGTATGGTAAACGCATTGATTAAATAATTATTCATATATAATGTTTCGCTTAGAAAACTTCTACAAATATTGTAGTCTAACCACAGATAAGATAATATTACATAATCTAATATAGCCGCTCTTTGTCTCTTGTTATCGTTAAAAATATTTCTAATTCATGATATTTTTTTGCCTCAATAGACACGGGTTAAAAAAACCTTCTCTTGTAGATTCCCTTAATAATTACAACATCTGTGATAAGCATCATTAGAAGACTGACCATACTGTGAACATTCACCAGCTTAGTATTTGGTGACCTTACAGTTTGTGTAATAAAAAAAAAAGTAAAACTTCCTGGCTGCAGTGTTTCCGTACAGTTTTTTTTACTAAGTGTATGTTATACGGCCCTGTACTGTAACTGAAACATGTCCTACTCGCATAGAATATTGTCTTAGCTCAATTATTCTCTGTACACGTCCCTGATCCTATGTCTAGACAAATAATTAGTTTAAGTGTAAATGACCAACTTAAACAAATGTCATTGTCAGTCTACATGAAGACCCTCTAATGTCATGACTCAATATCACTGCCTCACCTATTCCTGCTGCCAGGCAGATAGCTTCGTAATCTATGTTTTAGTTTGAAGGTTGAGATATTGCAGTTACGTTACAAGGTACAGAAACATTATAATAATATTCCAGGACAACTCACACAGTGCCATTAAGTTCCAAAGTAAGCAGAGCTTGGGCTAAGCGCTGGACCACCGAGGCCGTTAATAAGACATGACATTTTAGTCCTTCGGAATATAACAAGATTTGATTTCATCGGCGTCAAATGACGACGTGATATCTGTAGTGCTGATGACGGTTACCACTTTCCTTCAGACAGACAGTCAGTTGAGTTACATAAAAATACTTATTATAAACGCAAAAGTTTGTATGTGTGTAAGTTGGGATATACAATATAGGGATGGTTGATAGATTTAAATTTATTTATTTTTAAGAATTAACAAAATTAGAACCTTTTAAATTTAAAACTTAATTCAACAACTGGTGTAGGTACTAACTGAATTGCCTGTTAAATAAAATGAAACAAGTTTAATGTGTAAAGACTAAAGTAAATATACCTGAATTAATATTAAGTTTAAATTTTATATATTTTAAATAAAAATGCAATATTTCGATAACCTATGTTAATTTGAATTTGTTCTTTTTTTAATTTTTTTTTTTTATTATGTTTTACTGACATGGCAATGCACATATTTATAGACTGCCAGTTACAGTTTTGTTTTTATATAGAATTGTTTACACAGTATATTGAAATAACTCTCCCCGATGCTATCTTGATAGATATAAGGGAGAGTACACTAATTGAGGGCCGCCAGTAATGAGACTACTGGAAATAACCTATACTCGCACGACTTTCTACCCAACGACCGATATTCCTGATTTATAGTGCAGTTATTAGCAACATGCGCTTGACTTTGTAATTAAAATTCTGTACTTCCAACCACGCTTTATTGAATTTTTAGAAAAGATATGTGTAGTTATTAAAATTCATACTTATAATGTTGTCTTTGTTATTTCTGTAAACAAAATTCATATGATAATTTTAAAACAACATCTAAATTAAAAAATCTTATTTTAAAGAAATGAAATCATTTATTTGCAGAATACATTGCTTATAGGTATATACAATATTAAATACGATATTCAGTGTATTTAGCCCGCATACAGGCGTTCAATTTTTTTTATATATTATTATGTTTATGTCATTTTAATAAATCCATAATTAAATTAAAATAAGTATTTCATTGGACTTGCTGGCACATATAATTATTATATATATATATTCTTTATTGCACTTTTAAATACAGTTCTAAACTTAAATATATACAAAGTGAGCAAAGGTGGACTTATCTCTAAGAGAGATCTCTACCAGTCAACCCAACAATGTGGCATAGCTAGTATTGAGTAGGTAACACCTGTGCAATTAAAACTATTATGTTAAAATCTCCAAAAGATGAAAAAATAAAATATTTAAAATTCAACATATTAAATAAAGTTCGAATTATATTATAATTATAATAAAATATACAATAATAAATAAAATAAACATTAATAAAAGTTATATATATATATATATATACATACATATACAATTACTATAGATATCTACATATATTACACAAAATACAAATAATAAAATACATGATGAAACTAATCATACTAAGGTCGATAAATAGTACGATTTCAACCTTTTCTTAAAACAACCGATTGATGGACTTTCCTGTATCTGTACTGGTAGTTTGTTCCATAACCGAGCAGCGCGAAATGAAAAGGAATTTCCTAAGAATTGTGACTTGCCAAGTGGAAGTTTTAACATTTTGGAGTGGTTTTGGCAAAGACGTCTCGGTCTAGTAGGAGGGGGCAACAATTGAAAGCGGGATTTAAGGTAAGCAGGAGCATTGGGATTATTAAGGATGTTATAGAGCATGGTCATGTGCATATTATGTCGAAGGCGGATTGGGAGCCACTTTAAACGAGCGCGAAATTCAGAGACGTGATCGTATTTACGTAAACTGAAAATAAATCTGATGGCTAAATTTTGTAAGCGCTCGAGTTTATTGAGGAGCTCCTCAGTCACGTCTAAGAAACAAACGTCAGCATAATCAAGAATGGGAAGTAAAATGGATTGTGCGAGCATAATTTTGGTACTGAAAGGAAGAAAATATTGAAGTCGTTTGAGAGAGTGATATGAATAATGCATCCGTTTACTGATTTCATTAACATGAGGTGTCCAAGACATTGTGCCATCTAAGATAAGCCCTAAGTTTTTAACTTTGTCAGTATACACTAACTGAACACCCTATATACAAGTGCGGGTATAGTAGACCAATCCAACCGGCTCCTCAGTCTACTGCTACCAACAATCATAACTTGGGATTTGGCAGGATTTACAACAAGACCGAAAGACCTAGCCCATGCTTGTATTGCCGAGAGATCACAGTTCAAATCTGCAACTGTTTGTGCCACCTCCGACAATGTAAAGTGACGGTATAATTGCAAGTCATCTGCATACAGATGGAATGGAGAAGTAATGATACGAGATATATTGTTAATAAACACTGAAAATAGTAATGGAGAGAGAACACCGCCTTGAGGTACACCAGCAGTTAAAGTAATCCAGTCTGAGGAACCCTCGCTAGTTTTTACACACTGCTGGCGACCGAAAAGAAAAGAAGAGAACCATTCTATAACAGAAGCAGAAATGTTAATAGCACGGAGAGCACCAAGAAGGATGTCAAAATCTACAGAATTGAATGCGCTGCTGAAATCTAGCAGAATTATAGCAGTCAACTTGGTGTCCTCCATAGCCTGCCTTATATCCTCAGTAATATTAAGAAGTGCCCCAGTAGTGCTATGGGAGGGACGAAAGCCAGACTGGAAGGGACATAACAGGTTATTAGAAGAGAGAAACATGTAAAGTTGACTATGAACAACGGATTCGAGAACTTTGGAGAGCAAGGGAAGTATGGAAATGGGTCGAAATTGGGAGAAACAAGTAGGGTTTGACGTTTTAGGGAGAGGTATAACATAAGCCCTCCTCCACTGTGATGGAAAGACATTTTGCTGCAGAGAAAAATTAACAATGTGAGTGAGTACACGCAAAATATCTTCCAACACAGTAAGAATCATCTTAAGGCTAATGTCGTCGCTACCGATAGCTTTAGTGGATAGGGAAAGGATACACTTTCTAACAGCATCTTCTGATACCGTACTGAAAGTAAAGGAAGGACAAAGAAGGTTAGAAAGAATGGAAAGGGAATTGGCTTTAGTGGAATTGCTAAGAGTAACAGGAGTAGAGGAAAAATGTATGTTTAGCGCATTGAGATCGAGACCACTCAGCGAAGAGTCGGAGGCCTTGCCCACTCCTAGCGACTGGAGAAACTTCCAAATTTGAGGCTGTCTAAGGTTTTGTATAGTATTATGGATATATCGGCGTTTAGCATCCCTACACATTCTGTTGCAGACGTTGCGTAGCTTTTTATACAATTCAAAGTTAACCTGTGATCTCTCGTGCTTGTACTGACTTTTAGCTCTGTCACGTTTGGCCATGGTTCTCCGAATAATAGGAGTAAGCCAAGGAGCAGGAGCGTGTTTAACGCGGACTGGACGCACTGGTGCATGGATGTCAAAAATTTTAATGATCTCTTTGTTAAATGTTTCAACCATGCAATCGATATTATCAGCTAGCAGTAAGGGA